ACAGGGAAAAATATGGCTAAATAATAATAATAATAATAATAAAAATAATAAAAGCATTAATTTTAGAATGAGAAGTTTCACAGGCTGGGTACAGACCTATATAAATGAGACCGTGTGTGTGGTTGATCAAATAAAAGATTTTAATAAAACTATGGAAGAGCTAAGAGCAAAGCTGAAGAAAGCTGGTGTTCATGAAGAACTTTAAGAACAAAATAAATGAAAAACATTCATTAAATAAATAATTTGGAATGCAGTTTTTCTTTCAAAAATAAAAGAATAAGATGCAATGAATATGAAATAAAATTTTGTAAACTGTTTGCAAAATTATAATTTGATATTTTGATTAATTATCATTTGTGTAGTTTTTTAAAAATGTTCACGTGTCCAATATTTGTAAATACAATTTTGTTTAAGAAAGTCACTAAACCTCGATAGGCAATTCTCTTCTTATCTTATCCTTGCTAGAAGTCTAGATATTTTAAATAGAATAAGTGTTAGGGGAGTATGGACATTTCATAGAAAGACATTTCATAGAAATACATTTCATAGAAAGACATTTCATAGAAATACATTTCATAGAAAGACATTTCATAGAAATACATTTCATAGAAGACATTTCATAGAAATACATTTCATAGAAAGACATTTCATAGGTAGACATTTCACAGATAAGACATTTCTCTGATAAGACATTTCATAGAAAGGACATTTTATAGATAAAACAGATTTTCCATCGAGACAGAAGGGATTTTTTATTACATATGATATATCTTTATATTTTCCCTTGTCTATGAAAAATCTTCTCTGTCTATAAAATGTCCAAACTATATTTTCATCTTCATGTTTTTCATATTACATTAACATTTACATCATCTCTTATATTTGAGATGATTAATGCTATAAATGTTGTATATTCTAAATTCCATTTACTGTGTCACGTCAGGGAAACAATTTTCCAATTTTGTTGAGCGATTTTTTAACAAATCGCTCAAGCATTTTCATTCAACAAAAGTGTTATTAGTGAAATACTTTTAAACGGACAGATAGGTTTTCACAGATAAAAAAGTTGAATTTTAAGTCATGAATATATTATGTGTTTTTATTTGTTTCGTTGTAGAAATGTATAAGGGGCTAACCGCACTGTATTTACATTTTCCTTGTCTTTGAAAAATTTAAGAAAAAAATTGAAAATCTTTAGGAAGACGACATTAAAACAAAACTAAAGTTCATGTGATGTTGTTTTAATGCAAATAACTTTTCTTATACGTTATTAAATCACTTAATAAGTAAAATGGTTCTGTTTACACTGCACAAGTGCAGAGCCTCATCTTCATTGGACTATTTTATGTTTTAACTTGAGTCTAAAAGTCGACTTCCTATTCCAGAGTTTTCTGGTTATCACTGTTTAATATTTATATTATGAATTATACACTGTTAAAGATATGTTGTATACTAAAAGACACATGTTTTCTAAAGTAAGATGTATGGTATTGTCAGTAAGCTCATATGACACATACCTACACTGATATTATCCAAACTGTTTGATGACAACAAGCATAACTCACATTTTTTATCAGATGAAATTATATTCTTCTGTCAGTTAGGGACCATTGCTATATTCTCATATGTTGTGTACAACAGTTACGGAACCTAACTTTGTTTTCAGGTTATTAGGCTCCACTAAATAAAACTGGATTCTAAAGGACTGGATTCTGAAGGGTTCCTAAGTGAAGCAAGATTCTAAAGGGTTCCTAACAGAATCATAATAATAAAGGGTTCTTAACTAAAGCAGAATTCTATAAGGTTTCTAACTACTGATTTAGTTAGAAACCTTATAGAATTCTAGAATTCTAAAGGGCCCCTAACTGAAGCTTTATTCTAAAGAGTTCCTAACTAAATCAGGATTCTAAAGGATTCCTAACTGAAGCAGGATTCTAAAAGTTGCCTAACTGAAGCTTTATACTAAAGAGTTCCTAACTAAATCAGGATTCTAAAGGATTCCTAACTGAAGCTGGATTATAAAGGGTTTATTACTGAAGCTGAATTATAAAGGGTTTATTACTGAAGCTGGATTATAAAGGGTTTATTACTGAAGCTGATAAGCTGGATTCGAAAGGGTTCCTAACTGAAGTAGGATTCTAAAGGGTTCCTAACTAAAGCAGGATTCTAAAAGTTGCCTAACTGAAGCTGGATTCTAAAGGGATCCAAAATAAAGCAGGATTCCAAAGGTTGCCTAGCTAAAGTCGAATTCTAAAGGGTTCCTAACTGAAGCAGGATTCTAAAGGTTTCTAAACTGAAGTTTTACTGTAAAGGTTTCCTTACTGTTGCAGGATTCTAAAGGGTTCCTAACTAAAGTCGAATTCTGAAGGGTTCCTAACTGAAGCAGGATTCTAAAGGGTTCCTAACTGAAGCAGGATTCTACAGGGTTCCTAACTGAAGAAAGATTCTAAAGGGTTCCTAACTGAAGCAGGATTCTAAAGGTTTCCAAACTGAAGTTTTACTCTAAAGGTTTCCTTACTGAAGCAGGATTCTAAAGGGTACCTAACTAAAGTCGAATTCTAAAGGGTTCCTAACTGAAGATAGAGTATTATTATAATCTAAGATACGAATCTAAAGTTAGTATAATATTTCATTTTTTTATTTAATCCATAAATAACCGGGCATCATGGTAAACAAACTGTCCATGGACAAAATACATAGAAAATGGACTGTGTCTACGTACTGTTGTGAATCGTTTTGGTTTTGGACTTTGTTTTTTTTTGCAAAATTTGGCATAGTGTAAATTTAAAATTTGGCATAGTGTAAATTTATAATTTGGAATAATAAACATTTTTTCTACATTGGGCGGTTGTGAAATGCGTTCTTTGTAATTTGTTTTCTTTGGTTTTTAAATTGTCTGTAAAGCCAGTTTTATAAATCATCATTCTTATTGTCAACACAAAATTTTTTAATAGCTTTATTTTTGATCATCCCATTGTGTTCCTTCATCTTTATTTTTTTATAAATTTTTTTCTCGCATTTTTCGTGAATATTATATTCACAAGTTGTTCGTTGACATTTCATTCCCGCGTTTTCAACATTTTGTTCATCGCTTTTTCGTATAATTTTATCCCCGCGTTTTTTTGCCCTTTTCCAATCTTTTGCATTATCATGTTTATTATCAAAGGAGTTTTTTGCACTTCGCAACCTTTTTGACAAATATTTTGTTGTTTTTGTTCAATCAATGGAGACTTTAATTTACGGAATGTTTAATTTGAGAAAGGTATGGGGTATACTAATATTCACTCTTGAGTAGCCCATGAGTTTCAATATCTGTATCCTTATTTCCCCCATTCCTC